ACACCCTGCTGCTTGTTGTTGTGTGTTGTTGGGAGTTGTTGCACAAAGTTTGAAACCGATCAAACTTTTAGCTACGTGCAAACAGACGCAACAACTTCCAACAATGTTGGGAGTTGTTGCGTCCGTTTTCACGTATTGCTGAAGGTACCAACCATTGATACAAGTAAAGATACAAAAAAAAGAAAAAAACTTTCATACATTAACTACGGTTCGCAGGAAGGCTCGTAGGAAAGCACTGAGAGAAAACAACGGGCTTCAAAGTATAGAGGGTTAAGAGTCGGACTGCAGCCAAGTAATAAAACAACTAACAATTCAGATAAGGACGCTAATTTAACAAACCTTCTCTCGGCTTGTAAATGTAGTGCAGCAGCTTAATATACCACTTCGCGTCGGCTGAATCCCTGTAAAACAAACCAAAAAAAATTGTCTCCGTAAACGCAAAAATACCGCTCCCACTTAACCGGTCGAACCACTCCGATTATTTAACTAAAGAAATTTCAAGTCAAGTCGGTTCATTTCTAAGAGTTGTGACGCCATTGTCACGTGGTATTGATTCCGATGTCAAAATAATTATATCATAATGTCATTAGTCTATGTGTAATCTATGTGTTACTAAAGATCAAGCTTTTTGGGTATAAGAGGTCCAAAGATGGAAGACGTGCCTTGGAATGATCATGAGACACCTCAATTCTTACCTGTTTAATCCTGGAGTGAATACATGCATGACATGTTTTATTACTGGCTCTGAAACCAAAAACATCCTGTCGGTTTCAACAGCACTCTGCAAGATTCCGTTAGAACACCAGATTAATAAATTTTCCGCTTTACTTGGTGGTAATGATATATCAAAGAAAATTCAATTCAAAGTTATTTAAGGCTGTAAGAGGAGTGATTATAATAAGCTTGAAAATTCAATTGATTGCATTTAAAACTGTGACTCATAAACTAACAGAACCTCCTGATTTCCATTTGTGGGCAAGAACCACTTTCTTCGGACTTCTAGGATCAGCAAAACAGCAAATCGTAGAGTGATGAATAACTGACACAAGATGGTTGGGAGGAAGCTGAGGAACCCAATAAAAAGCCTATTCCTGCTTTCACCCTAATATGAATTGAACAGTAAAAATACATTTCAGAAGATCCTTTTCAAAATGCGATAGACCTTGTCACGGTTTTCGACGCCATCTTGACGAGTAGGCAAACGTGTGAGAAATTACAGTGTTTGTATGAGAATCTAATGTCGAAAAAGTTCCGTAAAACGACTTTTCTGAAAAAAAAATATATCAATTGTAAACTAAAGCTACAAAGCAAAGGATTGTACTTAAACATTTTGGGGGCGTACCTGCGCTTAAATTTCTCCAGAATCTTGTTTTAGATTTTCCATATAATTGTCTGTAATTTTTCCCGGGAATTTCTTACAGACAAATGTATAGAAAATTTGAAAAAGTGTTCTAAGTCTTCTAGCGCATGTAACGCCCTCAGTTTTTTTTCAGCAGAATCCTTAGGCGTGAGGCTTTAGTTTACAATTCATATTTTTTTCAGAACAGCCGTTCTACGGAAATTATTCGACATTAAATTCTCGTACAAACACTGTAATTTCTTACGCGTTTGCCTCCTCGTCAAGATGGCGTCGAAAACCGTGACAAGGTCTATTGCACGAAGTTGCGGTCAAACAGCCACAACATGATCAAATTATTTGTTGGAGGTTCAATGTACACTTTATTATTATTAAAAATCTACATTTACATAAAGTCCATTTCCGCCTGCAAATAGCAGGTGCTAGTCGAGGCGGGCGGAGATAATAGGTACAGCAGTCAGTAATAAATTACAAATAGATAGATGAATAAATAAATAAAGCAATAACTAGATATATATAAATAAGTGAAATAAAGCTTAAACATAAATTAATAACATTTACAAAATCAACTATTTGAAACTCGTAAAATTGATTGCGACACTAAATAAGTTATGTATACTTTAAAAATTAAACTCTGTATTTGCTCGATAGTTAGCTATTTTTTGAAGCAGAATGGGCGATTCAACATAATCGTCCTCGGCCTCTCATAACGAAAATAACACGTCACTGATATGTTTTTTAAAAGCTCTCTTGGGGAGGTGACGAAGTTCATCGCAAACGGAGTTCCAAAACTTAGCTCCGAACCTAGCAAAAGAACCATGCTTTTAATTCAGTCTCGATCGGTTAATATAAAAATTGCAGGAGGAGGAGAACCTGGTCTCGTGATTATGCTTTTCGTTTGCTTTAATGAAAAGATTACTAATGTTAGTGGGAACAGTTAGACATAAGACGTCGAGCCCCTCACAATATTTTTGTGAAACGTTATGAACATTTTAAACTTTGTCACAACATGTATTTTGTTCTCGAAATGAAGAAGTTGTTGACTCTCTCGCTCTTGACATGACAACTTCTTCGTGGTAATCTCGCAAGCGCAGTAATATGGGTCCATCTTACCCGTTCAGGAAGCCAATCAGAACATATGATTCGCTTCATCTTGCCCGCTTGAGGATTCAGTCATATATATATATATAAAATAATTAACAATTATTCCTCGAGCCCGAATGGGCTTTGAGTCAATAGCCCATGAGGCCGAAGGCCGAATGGGCTAAATCTGACTCAGAGGGCCTTGAGGGCGAGAGGAATAATTGTTTTAGTAAAATACAACTAATTGGTAAAAAATATCGAGACCAAAAAACTTTTAAGTAGTTAAAGCTAGATTTAAATCTTTTTTTGCCGCCAAAAAGCTTGCGCTTTTCGCTACTAGTGTGCTGTATAAACATATAGCCTAGTAGTAGCTCAACCAATCAGAACGCAGCATTGATAATAGACCACTAGTTGGATTTTACTAATGGTGGATATTCACCTCGCCGATCCATCACTAGCCACCTCTATTTCTGTGACTAATTGTTCTTTGGTAAAATCCAACTAGTGGTCTATTATCAATGCTGCGTTCTGATTGGTTGAGCTACTACTAGGCTATATGTTATAGCCCACTAGTAGCGACAAGCGCGAGCTTTTTGGCGGCAAAAAAAAAGTCTAGCTTTAACTAGCTAAAAGTTTTTTAGTCTCGATATTTTTACCAATTAGTTGGATTTTACTAAACAAATATTCCTCTCGCCCTCATCGCCTCTGAGTCAATAGCCCATTCGGCCTTCGGTCTCATGGGCTGTTGACCTAGAGCCCATTCGGGCTCAAGGAATAATTGTTAACTAGCCACCGGCACTGAGGTGAATAATTGTTTTAGGTATATACTAAAGCAGTGAGATAATTATGCACTAAATTTAGTTTAAAGCTTATTCATGAACATGGCAGCTAAATAAAGTAACGCAAGACTTAATTTGCATTTGTAAACAAAAAACGTTTTCACCGGTTTCATCGATAAATTCAAGTCAAAAAGACAAAGCTTTACCCGTTAAAACTTCCAAACCGAATTTCGTCACCTTCTTCGTGAATTTCAGGAACAGCTTGTTTTAATTTGATTATTTAGTGAAATTTCTTTTATTTGTTACGGCAGCAAACCTGGAAGCCATTTTGCTCGTAACTTCGCGAGTTTGGCGTCGCTCGCTCGGAGGAGCTGGAGCTGAATCACCGAAAAGGGACTTTAAGATGCCACGACGGCGACGACGACGAGAACGTCAAAATAGCAATAGGCTGAATAGTAAAAACAACAACTCTGCAAGTGCATCACGCTTTTTTGTACATTTCTTTGCAGCCACTGCACAACCACGACGGAAAATGCCTAATTTCACTTTTTATGGAGGAAGTAAACAAGCGACGGCAAAATTTTCTCTCTCTTTCTGAACTTGAATATGGTTCGTAGGAATTCGGCTCAAAAAGAACTCGCTTGCATTTGACAAAGTAAATGAGTTGGAGTAATCGCAGCCTGTGAACAGGCCTTTGGGCGAGCGGGGAACTATTTTTTTCCCCAAACAGAGAGCCTGTTCACAGGCTAGAGTAATCGCGATAGAGATTGAAAAAACGCAAATTCACTTTTTATATGACGCTTTTGTGGCCGTCGCTGTCGTGGTATCTTAAACTCCCTAATAGCACTGGATATCCGGAGTTTGGGTAGCCAATCAAAGCTCGCGAAAAACACTTTCCCCACTGTTTTAGCATATACTAAAACGCGTTATTCTAAAGTATTGACGATTGGGCGATCACAATAAATCAATCATATCCAACCAATATGATACAAATAGGAAAAGAGTTATAACACGAGTTTTTTCCCTGAAAAAAGGCTAGCAGTAGGTAGTTGAAACGTCGCTATCTACAAAGGTGAACAACCCTTATTAGGCTCAGTATATTTTCTTACTTTGCGATAATTCTCACATTGGAAATAAATTCCAAGATCGAAAAAGAACCTAAAAACACACAAAAAATAAAAGTTAAAGGTGGAAAGATAACATGGAGTATTATGTAATACAGAAAAGGTCCTTCAAACGAACTCCCTGACTCTGATCTAATAACAAAGGTTGCTTAACGAAGGTCCCACGGTTAGCCTAGGTTCAAACCCCAGAGACAAGCGGGTTTTAATTCATTTGTTTTTGCCCTATAACACTATTAATGGCTGCGTAATGTAGCAAAAGGATTACACGTGCAGTCCATATTGCTGTTTTGTTTTTCACTTTTACGCCTTCTACTTAAAAATCGAAAAGCCATCAATAACGTGCATTCAGTAGTTTCTTTTACGATATATTACGTCGTAAGTGACATGATTTGTGCAAGACATTGATCAAATAGTGGAAACCATAGAAAGATAGCAGCCATTTGAACGTCACATGTCTCCAGAGGCAAGACATCCCATTTGTCACGACGTCATTTGGAAGACGCAAGTAATAAGGAATTATTGATGACGTCAGTCATTCTGAGATCAATGAATTTTTATTGCCAATATACCATCATTAACGTCACGCAAGACAGCAGCACGGTGGTGGTAGGTTTATTGTTTATGTATCTGCACCACAGACAAAACTAAACCTCCAGCTAAGTCCGTCTGCGAAACAGCGCCGAAATCCTTGTTCTGGGCCCCCAGCTGTGTACCAGGATTTGAGTACTAGCCATGATTGGCCTGTTAAAAATTGGAAACGCACTTCTGGTGATTCGTTGAGTCAGTTAGGTGTCAAGGACAAGGATCTCGGTGGGGTTAGATTAATTCTGTGACGCAGGCTATTCATAGCTATGCCAAGACGAAAATAACCGAATTACTGACTAAAAATAAACGAAACCATTGCTCTATGGACATCGAACGCATTTTTTTCGGTCTGAAACTGTCCTGAGGAAACAGGCAAATGTTTTGAAGAATGTTTGCGACAAGGTTATGATGTTAGAAACTTAGAAATATTTTGAATGAAGAACACTTATTGAATTCAGCTTTCCTATGATGTAAAGAATATGCGGAACTTGGAGGCTATTATCAGCCGAAGCCACACCAGCCTCTTCGATCTGAAAAACTCTTCACGATATCATACTCAGCCTCTCTTAATCAACTTGCAGATCTCATCAAAGGCTATATCGAATGAGAGTTCTATCTTTTCGAGACATATGTATGTCGAAATTAGCACCGCTTGAACTCCCAGTGAGGCCAGAGATAGCGCTGCAAGGGTACTCTGAAAGTGTTACTGACTGATGGCCAGGCCTTTTCCATTGACCTTGAGACACTTATTACACTCTTAGAGAACCTTTCAAGCAGCTGAATTGGCTTGATCAACCGTCTACGTCCAAACAGTATTTCCCAGCTCTAGGATGATTAAATAGTTGAATCGAGGACAAATTTTCCCAACATATATTTTTTAACTTTGACCTTGAATTCAAAAAATTGTGATGAAGCAGCAAACAGAAGTTCGAACGACAGTTGCACGTGTCGACACGCAACACTCTTCCATCTACAGCAAGTCATAAGGACCAATATAGTAGACACTGGTCGATAATCAGTAAGGATTCATTTACAACCTTATCGTTATTTCACGAGGCATTGTCTAACCTTATAGCAGCATAAAGAAATCCAAGAGTTGATCCAAGCAGCTTGTGTTCAGTTGTGAGGCAAGCAAAGAATGGGTAGAACAGTACTCCATACAAAAGAACATATGACATTTTCAGAAAAACTGAAAGAAATTGTTAAAAAATAGACTTAACATAAACGTGCCCTAAAGTACAATTAATTAAATAAATTCAAAATAAAACCGATCTTATCTCAAGTCACAAGTGGAGTCTGGACAATGACATTGGTATACCCTGAATTGAGCGGAGGGAAATGAAAGCTACAACCTCACGGACAAAATTGTTGACACGGGTCTTTCTGTTTTCTAACTTTTGCGCCATAATACCAATGGTATCCTGAAACTGCCGAGGAAAAGGCAAATAGGGACCTTACGAAACAACGACGGCGATGGCAAAGGCAACAGCAAAAAGCAATAGGTACGTTTAGTTAGAAAAACAACAACTCTGCACATGTTTTTGGTACATTTCTTTGCGTCCCTGCACAATTACGACGTAAAATGACCAAATTTTAATTTTTTTTAGGACGGGAACGGTAAGGCGATAAATTCTAACATCTCCGTCTGAACTTGGGCGTGGCCCCCTCTCTACAGTTCCAGTCTAAATTCTCTTCTTTTAAGTAACAGGGCGACTTGGGAAAATCACGAAATGGTTTGAAAGGATGCAGAGTCTATATTTCAGTGACGTTTTTATGGACCTCGCCGTTGTCGAATCGTAAGGTCCCCAATGTTATGAGGACGCGAACTTTAAATAAATCGAAATAAGCATGTTTTAAAGTAGGAAATATTTTGAATGAATAATAGCCTTTTCTCACCCTTAACCCAAACAGAAACACCCGAGAAGGTTGATGTGCCAGTAGCGGAAACAAGAAAAAGTCCTAGGCAAGAACTGGCCGTGGCTCCAAAGATGGCCGCAATAGTAAACCTGTTGCTGTAGCTAAAACTGTGTAAAAAGTTGACTGGTCTGAAAACAAAAAAAGACAAAAGACAAAATTTTACAATATGTCATCTAATAACTGTGTAAAGAATACAACTGTAAAGAAGATAATACTTACATCAGGAGCCCGGGATAACCATGGCAGTATTGAAGTTTCAATTTCTTTCTTCGTTTGAGACATGAAAGAACAACAACAATGGCAAGCTGTTGAGGAAAACAAAGCGAGCCTTCAGATAATACTGAAAACTTTACTTGGGCACAATAAAATTAACCGTTAAACGTAAAATAAAAATTAAACGTTAAATAAAACCAAAAGCAGTGGAATAATATCGAGCCATTACTCACAGCTAGAGCGAAACATCCCCATAGGTAACTCGTTTTATCAATGGCTGGTATACACCTGGAGAGGGATAAGGTACCTTTTTTCAGTGTTTGAATCTGCTTTGTTTTTAATTAATAAAACGAGCAACGTTTGCTCAAATTTTCAATTTAATCAATTTATTATTTAAAGTATACATGTAAATTAACTTACACACCTCTATACTCTCAGGTGATTTTAAAGTCCCATGCAAAGAATTATTATTCCGTTGCAAAATAATACTCCGTTTCTGATTGCCTTAAATTCGCCGGCTTATTCTTTATAACCATCACGTGTCCCCTAGAATTTTCTAGCGAAAGTAAGGCTACTTCATGTCCTCCATCTTTCGACGGGACTCATCTGGGTGGATAAAGGCGTTTTGGATGAGACGAAAGTTCCACCTAAACTTTCAAGACGACCAAAGTTCGCCTTAGACAGCCGAGCAGATTTAAATAGCTTTTAGTACGGCTCCAAGTCGACCAAACACGCTTCTAAAGCAAAGAGAAAACGATAGACACTTCTCCCGTATTTGGAAACATTCGGTTGTTTAGAGTTCCAAGTATACGAAATCGCCCCGTGGATCATTATACGTTTCTGGGGAAACTGCCCACCTACCCCTCCCCTAAGCCAACATTTTGCCCTAAGTGAGAAGTAAGTGGTAATGTTGTCTTAGCGAGGGGTAGGTGGGTAGTTTCCCAAGGTAATCCAAGACCGTCTTAGATTCTGATTTCCACGCTGTGGATTCCCGATTCCATGTCAGTGGATCTTGGATTCCGCATTCCAATTGTTAGCGCGATCCCAGATTCCTTGCACTGAATTCCAGATTCCCAAGCCCAGGATTCCAGATTGCAAAAGCAAAAATTTATCTGATTCCGGAATCCGCATTATCCTAAATCGCGTGATACGAAAAACGACCGAGAATACAACTTAGTTTAAATTTCAGCTTAGCTTTGTTACCAAAAAATGTTGATCTCACCATGACATGAGTTAATTTTAAAGTTTTTAATTGTCTGAGAGGCTATATCAACACTTGAAAAAGTTTTTCATCCGATATATGCAGATACTGGCCTCAACCTTAATTCCTTTCGGTGTCTGGATATCGTATGACCTGACTCAGTTACTCCTAATCTCGCCCCTTGTTCAATATATTGTATCCAAAATTCTGCTACTGGCTTTAAATGAAGCTAGGTGAGCACACACGCGGTTGTCTTAAATGAAGCAAGCAGAAGGGTAGCCTGAATTTCATCCGATTACTTTGAGTCTCCGTTATTACTCCCTCAGTAACGTGCTGCTAACTGAGACTGAGGAGAAAACGACTCGAAGCAATCGGATGAAATTAAGGCTAGAAGAACGGAATTTCAGTAGAAATGAATAAAGACTTCTGGTTTGCACAACTCGTTTCGATAACAAAGAGCCCGTTTTACTTACATCGTATTAGAAGTACCATTCACTGCGGAAGCTTCCGACATTTTGAAGGTCAATGTGCAGGCTTTTCACGCCGATTTCACTAGAAGCCAGCTACAATACTGTTCAATTGCCCGGTGGTTTTGAAGTTAAGCTTGTTAAACCTGCACCTCTGCTTACGTACAACTGCAACAGTAGACGATTTTATAGAGTACCAGATTTCAAAGTTAAGGATAGAGACTGTGTTAAAAATCAAACTACAGCTCCAGCGTCCCTCCCAGAATTGAAATAAATCTTATTTACATTGTGCTATCGTTGAATTAAAATGCGCATTCATGATCAACTGAATGAAACGGAGTGTGTATAATATGCGAGCCAGCGAGCCAGCGAGTCATGCGAGTCAACATGTGAGTCAACATGCGAGCCATGCGAGTCATGCGAGTCAGCATAAAATAACTTTGTTTTTAACGTAAACTACTAAGTAACGTATTTATTCCAAAGGCACGTCCTTTAAAATTCAGCTTCAGAAAAATTCGCCAACATACAAATTGAACGGGGTGAAACAATAACAAAGGTTTGAGAATTCGTTAAACAAAGGTTTAAAGGTTCTTCCTCGGTCACGTTTAATGAGTCACACCATATGTGGTAAGTCACGTGACCAGAACATAAAAAAACACTCTTTAAAACCCAAACGTCTTGCGTCTTTCACAATAAAACCAATGCCAATGGCTTAAGAATATCGCGATAAAAAATCTGACTTACTAACAAGTTTAACGTTCCTTCTCAAAATTCACATTTATCGAAAAAGCTATGACGTCATTGAGGGGTATTTTCGTTAGCGAGTCAACATTTTACGAGTTTATTCCTTGCGATTTACTTAAGATGTTACTTTTCTTCAAAGTTTATACACTCGATAAAATTGCGGGCGACATGACTTAGGACTCATGACTTCGGGCGAGATGACTTTCGGGCGACTTGACCGGTTACCTTTTCATACATTTTCTTCAAAAGACTTTCTTGCTGTCGTCTGAACGCTAATTTCATGCTACAAATGTTAAAAAAGTTAAATTGCTTATGAATCGCCAAAAAATGGATTCTCTTTCCTTCGAACTTCTGTCTCGCATGGCTCACATGATGACTCGCCTGACTCGCATGACTCACTGGCTCGACTCGAATGACTCGCTGGCTCGCTGGCTCGCAGTTTGTCAAGACCCCCTGTATATCTGAGTAGACAGGACCAGACTGTTGGAAAAAAATGTCAGTGAAATTTGAAAACAACAAAAAACTCAGTAATAACTCACAGCTCTAAGTACAAACGTCTAAATTAAGTTGCTTTTATTCATCAGATAACTGTGTGCATTTTTAAAACAGCTCCCACCGCGAGTGCACAAACTGAAAGGAACATTTTGTTGGTTCCAGTCGAGAGGACGACATAGTGCATGCAATAAAGAACCCTTATTGTCTAGACTCACTCATGCAAACGAAACGAAAAATGCTACGCATACGATAATATTTTTAATTGTAGTAATTTTAAAATCATTTCCATTCCCATCATCAATTATGGTGCAACTGTTTTGTTGTTTTCTAAATCCAGAAATGGTAGTAGGATTTGTACCGCTGCGAGCAGAGGTTTCTATCTTGCATGGCTTTTAGCGTTCACGAGGTCATTTGCGTCGCTTGTCTGACGCATAGTTGGTTTCATTGCGACATTCTCCATCTATATAATATTGTGATTGCTACATAAGTTCAGTAACATCTGTAAACCTGAAGAAGGCTGGTATGGCCAGCCGAAATACTGTTATAAAAAACAACTTCACGTTGTTTTAAATCAGCTTTGCAGTAGTCTTTGGACTTCTCGTTTTTGGTTTGTTTACTCTTCGCAGACAAGGCACGCGAATAACTTCGTACACGCTTAACAGTGGCGGGTCCAGACCTTCAGATAAAGGTGGGGGGGCATCATGTCATCCAGATCCTGAGATAAGCGGGGGCGGCCTCAAAAAAATTTTTTTCGGCCCTTCGGGCCTCATTTTCGTCTAAAAATAAGGGGGGGGGAGGCGGCCTCCCCGGGCCCCTCCCTGGATCCGCCACTGCTAAAAGCCATGCAAGAGAGAAACCTCTGCACGCAGGGTACGGGATTTGTATAGGTAATAGCATGATTTGTAGTGCTATTTCAAAATTGTTATAGGTAATTTCACGAGCCGTTGGGCGAGTGAAATTTGAGACAATTTTGAAATAGCACGAGTGGTATTTAGGTCAAACATAACGTACAAATCATGCTATTATTTGTTTATATTCACAAGTAGGTATTTCAAATTAAGCTGAAAAATACCACTGCTCCAAGCCAATCAAATAGCAGAAATTTCTCATGTAGTAGTATAAATTTAGGACCCCGTTTACACGGGTCACGACAAATTTTTGAACGAGCTAATTTTTTTACCTGTGTAACCCGTTTATACGAAACCGTGCAAATTCTGTCGCAGATTGCAGTGTACTGTTTGCTGCTCAAAACTTTGCGCGGTCCGGCGGGTCCCGTGTAAACGAAAAGTGGATCCGTGCAACCTTTTTTCAATCCTTTTTGAAATTTGTCCGGACCGAATGAATTCATGAGATAAAATATAATGCTCCATCCAGACCAACTAAACAATTATACCAGGGGCGGTGGGCCGACAGGGTTTGGTGCGCTAAATCCCAATCCCCACTGAATATTTACCGCTGTCTTAGAACAGTGGGTTCCTACTAGATCATTTCCGTTACGATTCCAGTAATCATAACTATAACAAAATTGTCAAATCTGATTGGCTATCAACTGCCCTGATTTCAGCCTTAATTGGACAGTTTAATAGGACAGTAGGCGTCATGCCTAAGTAATTGAACATGCCTAAGTAATTGGGCTCCGCCCACGCACGGCGCGAACGTGGAGCTCTGCTATTATACATGTACTAGTACAATAATTATTGTTAGATTAAAAGAGATACTCTGGGAAGAGCCATTTGTAACTGATTGTCTAAAATTGTGTAAAAATGTAAAATTAACACCAGATAGATTTTTGAGCACCACCATAAGATGATGAAAGTAGCCGCTACCCAAAAGTAACAATATTGTAGAATTATTCAAAAGGCAACTGGTATTGTTATTCATTATAAATGCAAAGAAGATCATCGCAGTTGGAAATGAGGCCTTAAAGCAGTTGGGAACTCAACGGTATGAAAAACTTCAGGCTTGCCGAGATTCAAAGCCTGGCCTCTGCGATACAGATGCAGTCGACGGAGCTACCAAACCAGCTGAGAACAGGCCACTTACAAAATTTTCGGGAAAGATGAACTGGATGAAGTTATGAATATATGAAATGGAAGGCACTAGATAACATCGACCTAAACCAGATGAGTCATCGATATGTCAGCGGCGTCTTACAAAATGAATCCTCGACTTCCGCTCATTTGATCGATCGCTGCGAGAATGTTAATTTGAGTTAATAAAGGGTCAATTTTTGACATTAACAGTTTATATTATTAAAAACTGTTAAATTTACAATAGACTCAGCAGTATTGCGCCGAATTACGTGGTTTATGGTCGTTCCGAGGAACTTAGGTGAGGCTGGTTTCGATTGATGTTATTTAGTGTCGACACGCCACGAAATACTATCTAACATCGACCGAAACCAGGTTTCAGTGACAGAAGCTAAGAGGAGGAGGAGACAACGTTTTACTGATAAGTATGTACTTTATTGACATGTTATCTTGTTTAAAAAGTAAAATCGAAGTTTATATAAACAAAGCTTGCAAATAATACATGTAAATAAAAGGCCAGGCAAAATAAGGTAATAGCTTACTTGCAATCCCGGGGGACTCCTTTATGAAAGGGGCGAGGATGCTCGTCGGAAATTTTGAATTAAACCTCTAAAGGAGACCAATCTGGGCGTGTCCCAACCCCAAAAAGCGATCATTTAAAACTTTGATCACATGACTCGAGTAAATAAAACAAATTGAAAATATACAATTTTTTAACATTTCTTCTAGAGCAACCCTAAAAGAGACCTTTGCGGCTAAATATGATGGTGTTTTGCCCAGAACACCCTAAGCAAGACCAAAATCTGTAATTTACACCCCTAAGCGAGACGACGAGCATCCCCGCCCTTTCATATGGGAGTCCCCCCCCCACCTCTTGGGCTTGCAGTTTTAGATTATGTTCAGTATAAAGGACACTGGCCAAGCTGCCATAAATTTTGAAAATAAAAAAATATATATATTTTAAGAAATTAGGGAATCTCAATGTATTGATGCTGGGCAATGAACATGGTAGGCCTGGGTGTGGCTGGCTGCAGTCCGCTCCTGTCCAGAGATAAAAGAGTTGTTTCCTTCTTGTACTTTTTTTTCTTGTACTTTTTATTTGGGTTAAATTTTGATACTTCTTATAATTACCGTGGGTATTTCATCCATCCAATCCCCTTTGTTGAAGCATCGTCCCTTTCTCATCATCTCTTCCTTTAGAAAGCACCTTCAAGTCATAGCATTATACTATTAAAACATCTATAGATTTCAAATTCTGACAATAGCAGTCATACTTAAAGTTTGTTGATATTTTGTTTAAAAAAGGTATGATACATTAGATATTCTCACCTGACATTCTTGAAGAAGGTAGGAGAAATAATTTGCTTCCCATCCCAGTATGAGATTGTTTTTTGTGTGACATGCACAACCTATGAATCAAGATAGATGTTTTAAAGTGTGAACACTACAGAATAAAGAAATATGAAAATCATTACTAAATATAACTATCTATTCTTTAACCATAATAATAATATATATTCAATAAAGAAAGGCATACCCCAAGAGCCCAATTACAAGGGAGATGTACTGGTATCAAAAGTAAGTCATACTGTCCCGTATATTAATCTGCAAAAACAAAAAAGGTAAACCAATTATCTTTTTGGTATATTATAGCTATATGCTTTCCAACAAAACAACCTCACAGTACTAAAAAATAGTGTCTGAGTTATTTCACCTTTTTGGTTCAGTTGGCCATCCACCTTGCCCCACACCTTGATAGCTTGTCATAGAAGAATGAATTAAAGCGGTAGGCCCTTGGGAATGCTGAAGACTAAACAGTAAAGGTAAGACAGAAGTCACGCAGGTTTTATTAAAATGAAATTCAGTAGTACAGGCAAAGACTCGGATATACAGGTAACTGTTATGCTTATGCTTATGCTCATACTATTTTCTCTTTTCCTTTGGCTTGAGTATTAGTAGCAATATATATCTGTCTGATTTCATTAAAACGTGG